CTATACCAGTTTATTGAAGTTTTAGAAAAAAGAGCTTTTGCTGCTTTGCGGCCATATTCATACAAAGTATAAGTATGGTATATAATTGTATAGGTATATTTATATACATATATGTATATACCTTCTCGAACTCGTCTCGAGAGAGCCTGTTTTTAAATCCTACCCTCGCCTCTATTTATACCAACCAATTTTCATTGTTGTGACATCACTACAGGTGACTACTTAGGTGGCAGTTGATAATTTTAACCTTCCATAATTATTAATTACTAGTAAACCCGGCGAACTCCGTTTCGCCACCAGAAGTTTTTTATATAACATTTCGTTTGGTGATTAAAAGATGAAGAATTTTTTTGTTTTATATTTGAAAAGGAAAATTTTTATTTCATTTCACAACAGTAATGAATTCATTTCGATTACAGAAATGAAGTGTTATTTAGTTGAACTTCTCTAAGTAAATGAAAGTGAATCCAAAGTAGATACCGAATCGAAGCGTTATACGTGTCCGCAAATTATCCGTTTCATTGAAGTGCTCCTTTGTAAACCACATTTTTTGTTTTTTGGTCTAACTTTAACACAAATAAGTTTCCAAACTCGTGAACGATTTGATTTTCTAAATTTATCCCGCAAATACTAAATGGTTTTAAGAGTTTAAACTACAAACACAATACCGGTTTGTCACATAAAATTAACTGAGCAGAGAACAATGAGTAGCCTTCAAACAATGTATCATGCACCGGCACCATCTACTTAAAATATTGATTTGTAGTACATGTTATGCATGATGGCGCTGTATGTGACAAAAGATTTTCCCCCTTTTCTTGGTTCTTTCGTTCTGAAGTTATAGCGTCAGGGTGGAAAACCGGACTTATTTTTATATAGAAGATTTCTTACAAATATCAAATTGTCATCCATACGTAGTTACATATCTGTCATTATACGTCAATTGCATAGCTGTCAATTGTGTTTCGTTATTCCACGTTTTATAGTGACTGACGTTTCATGTCAAGTCCCACGGGAATGCTGTCGAATGGGATAAAAAGTATCCTATTGCAATTTCTTGGTTCTAAACTACCTCCATGCCAATTTTCAGCTAAATCGGTTCAGCCGTTCTTGGGTTATAAGTGGAGTCACTAACACGACTTTCTTTTATATATATATATATATATATATATATATATATATATATATATATATATATATATATATATATATATATATATATATATATATATATATAGATGTCAGTAAAAAGACTTCCATCCTTTGAGAATTAACAGAAAAGTATTATAATTTTTGAATTTGCTTATTTTTGTATTTAAATTTTTGTTTATTATTTTTCAGGTTGGTGTAACGTTATTCTAGCGTCGAACAATAGGACAAACCTAAGGTACTTAATTTATGCATATTTTCATTTTGTTTACATGTTACAATTGATAAAATAATTGGTAATATTGGACTTAATAAAATATATAACATATTTTATATTCTGTATTGAAAATGCATTTGAAAACTGTTTCTTTTCTAACTGAAGCGATGACTTTGTATTAAATTTTAAGAGAATCGCGTAAAGTTTTAATCGCCAGCATAACACGATGTAGTCCCTAAAGGAATTTTATGAACAAATTTAGTAATATTATTGGGATATAATCAAATCAATAGTATGTTATTAAAATAATAATATATATTTGTATGAATTATGTTTTTCCCGTTTGTAAAAGGAATATTATTGTGGCTCAAAGTCCCAATAATGACGTAAGGAAAACCAGTCGTAATTATATACGTTTTCCTTACCGTTCTTTCTTATTAAATAAAACTAACTGTACTTGGTTATATGATAGTATATGTTAAATGACTGGCAAACGAACAAACTGACAGTACGAAGTTTTATACAAACAAGGATTAGGAACTAAAATCATGTGTTTCGCATTGGATACAGTTCCTGTTAATATAAAATAACATGTTATAAAAACAAAAGCATAATAAAAAAAAACTAAAACAAACACACTTTTGTAATTTAAATTACTATTTATTTTACATATTTTTTGTCAGATTATCAATTAGTTTTTTGTAGACATGCCCAAATCGCAACTAGCTCTGTCCCTTTCATTCTCATAGAGGATCTATGAAAAGAATATATTAATCCTGGCGGCTCTAACAAGGTTAATGGGAAATTATTAACGAATTATTGTATTGTCATTGGTCCTTGAGACATATGTAAAGTTTCAAGTTAATCAGATGTTTAGAAACCGGTGAAAATCGTGCTCAAAGATTCCGTTACATACATACAGCCCAAGATAATATAAGCGTGTTAAAAATAATATCATGGCTAGCTTCAAACACTAGTATTTTTTGTTCATTACTTAAAAATATCTATTTTTAATGTCATATATATTAGGATTGTTCAATATGTGTTGCGAAAGATTTATCGACTTTAAAACAAAGTTATAATTCTAACGCACTAAAATGATAAGATTATTTAAGGTAAAATCAAAAGTCAAGCCATACTCCATCCTTAAAGCGGCTCCGGAATGGACTATCATGATGGATACGTATGAGAAACAATACAAAATATCCGAGGATATTTGTGCGTCGGTCTCCAGACCAGATATATGTATTTTTATATTCACGAATTTTAAAGCGCGTTGTGGTTATAAAGCTTACGGTTCCTTGGGAAACCAACATCCTCAAAGACCATCAAGGTCAATAAATATTACGAGCTCACTAACGAACTAACTCGAAATAGGTTCGTCGTGGATTTGTACGCGGTAGAGGTGGGAGCGAGAGGTATAACAGCTAAATCTCTCTACAACCTACTCAAAGACTTAGTACTGTCCAGATCTCACATTTATTCATTCTTAGAATGTACTTCGAAGGCAGCCCTAGTAGCTTCAAATTTGGTTAGGAGATAGGAATTTATACAGTAGATAGGGTCCCTTAAACCTACACCTGGGTCACAAGTCCCAGTCACTGTTGAAGCTCCTCTCACTACAACGATGGACCCGACACACGCACCGTGAATACATGGAATGACGAGAGGTTTCGTCTCATTTAACTTTGAGTCATGTATTATATTATATTAATAAAACAAACAAACGTTTCTTCCATAATATTTATTTATTTTTTGGTGTAGTCTATTATAATGTTATATTTTTCTGTTTTCAGTGATTCTATTTTGGATCGTTTCAAACGTGGGACAGATTGCGAGTGAGTAATATTGAATTCCTTTTAGCAGAAACAATGGCTTACTAGTTATTAATATTAATTGTTTTCCTTAAGATTATATACACTGTTTCGGCTTTTATTAAAATAAGAAGCAATTAAATTATTTTTTTAGGGCGTTAATTCGTTTTAAATATTTCTTTACTTATAATCTACTTGACCCAATGAAAGTATGTTTAATTTATGAGAAAGACTTTTGAAATAGATTCTTGATTTACATTTAAGTACTGCTTACTAGAGATTGTAAGCCTTTCTCTTTTCTCTTTATTTTCATCATATTTTTCGGTTATTTTTGAGTTCTCTTTAATCTTATAAAATGTAACTAGTGCAGTTAAGTACGAGTTCATTTCTGGTGAATTAAAATCTTGAGAATCAGGTAAGTACTTGATATAATGACAACATCATTGTACAATTGCGAGCACTTTAAGATCTTATTAATATGTAAATAACTAGTTTTTGCCAATGTCTTTGCATAGTCTTTAGTATTGTCTTCAGAGAATAAAAAGTAATCTTTATATATATATAATTCTTCTGTGAGTGTGTATGTCACTGAACTTCTCTCAAACGACTGGACCGATTTTGATGAAATTTTTTATGTGTGTTCAAGGGGATCTGGGAATTGTTTAGATTCACAATTTTGTCTGCTGGATAATGTTTTTTAAATAAATTTTTAATTTATTAATAGTTGTTGATACAAACGTTTTTTTTGACATTAGATTTGACAAGTAACTAATATGTCAATCATTCTGTCGCACTTCAAAACACGGAGATTTATGGCTTTAATAGGTAAACTCCAAAAATATGAATAGAAAAACGAAACAGATATTTCTTGATTATAGGGCGATACGAAGTTCGCCGGGTCTTCTAGTATATACAATAGGTTAATATATATAAAATCTGGTTACCGAGCTTTGCTCGTATTTAGGGATTATTAATATTTATTTTATTTTTTGTTTTATTTCGTTTTGGCATTTTTAAGTGAACACGTTAAGAAGAAACAAAACAATATAAATCAACAATTAATTTCTTAGTCTAACGTCAAAACACTCATCGACTTCCTGTTACTTAACAACGCCATCTGCTGTTGTGTCATTAAAGCAATTAGTAAAAAGTAGTATTACTATTCGCCAATAGATGTCAGGAAGAGTCATATTTTAAACGACTCCTTTTTATTATTTTTTTAAAGAAAATATCTTTTTCTGTAAATTATTCCTATCTAGATTGATTTATCGCCCCCGAAAATCGTTAGAGCCGATTCCGAGATTCCAATTATATATAAATATTTGTACAAGAATTGCTCATTTAAAGATATGTGAACCAACCGTCAGCGACATCTATCGTATGTCACGTGAGTTCATACACTATACAGGTGTAGGGACGTATTCCCGAGGGAACTGCATCTTATAAAAGATACATTATATACTATTTCCTACTTTGACGTCTAAGCTATATTATTGGAAAGTTTCATCAAAGTCCGTTCAGTATATTTTACATACAAGAAGGAAAACCACTTCAACATCATAACATTTAGACATTCACATCTCGTCTTAATGATCACGGTTGCTGAAAAATTGCCGAAACGTTGAGAGTATGTAGTTTTTTACAAAAATAAAGTCATTTAGTATCTTCTTCTTCTTCCTGGCAACCTCCCAGCTTTAGCCAGGGTCTGCCAGTCGTGTAGTATATTCGAAAAATATTATTTTCATTTAAATTTTAACACACTTTCATTTGTATATTTGTAGTCTTAGTATAAGTTAGTCTTTCTTCCTCACAGTGACACCTTGCACTTCCAGTGCAGCGATGGAACCTGCATCAGCGTTGACAAGAAGTGTGATGGCGTTGGAGACTGTCCCGACGGATCAGACGAAACATTTCACATATGTAGGAATGTGAGGTGATTAAGATATTCTAGTTTATATCCTATTTAAATATAAAAGTAAAATATGCTTTAGATTTGGTCCATTACGTATATAAAGATAATTTTAATTTATTAACAGCATATTTATTTATTTATTTAAAATGCTTTATTGCACAACACATGGAAAAAAAAGGGGAAATACAAATCATAAAATAAGTACATGGTGCGCAAAGGCGGTCTTATCGCTTATAGCGATCTCTCACAGACATATTAATTTGTTAAGGAATATTTTATCAAAATATTCAGGCTGTAAGTCAGCTTAGATGAAGTTATTCTTTAAAGAGTTTTATTTACGGTCTTTTCGTTTTTTTTCATCCTTTTACGCGTTTAATATTGACTGTTAATAATATACTATGGTCTTTTTTGGATTTGATCTTGTTCTCTGTCTTGTCTATTAAAATTTAAGTCTTTTAGCATGATTTAGTGTATCAGTGATCTTTTGCTGTGTATCTAAATATATTTTTATTTTTTTACATGGCGTTCAAATTCGTTGTGACTTATATTAATTTTAATAATTAAGTCAATACCCAGGTTTGTTACTCGTTCCGAGAAAATATCTAATATCGTAGAGCTTTTTCTTCTTACACTTTCAATTATCTAAATCTGAAAAAAATATATAAGATGTATTAATACATTATAAGTACCGACAGCTCGTGTTTAATCCACACAGTAATCATGGCTATAATTCGTCCAAAAAATAAAGACGTTCCATTGACAAAATATTCCACGATTCGAAGCGAATGAAGCCAGCATAAAAGTTCTAATAGACCATTATTTCCAGGTGCCCATATTACCACTTTCGCTGCACGTACGGAGCTTGCGTTGATGGAACAGCTTCTTGCAATGGTGTCAAAGAATGTATGGACAATTCAGATGAACTTCAACCAGCCTGTCAGAAGAAAAATAATATATATGGGTGAGTATTATATTGTATGGTGGGAACACGTACTATGGTTTGAAGGATCATTTTCTCATTGCTATTTTGTTGTAATACAATGAATAAATAATGTTAAGTCAGTGGTGGTCTAGTGGTTAAAGGCCCGCCTCTCATGCATGAGGGCGCGGGTTCGATCCTGGCCCTGGCAAGTACCAATGTGATTTTTTGGAGTCATATGTACTTTCTAAGAGTATTTAAACATCGCAGATTAATGCATTCCCAAAAAGGGTTGATGTCAGGCAGGCCAGTCGTAAAAAACAATTAGCCAAAACTATTTGCAACATGTAAGGCAGACCCTGGCTAAAGCTGGGAAATTGCCAGGTAGAAGAAGCAATCAATGGTGATGGCATTTCGTCTTTGTAGTTCCATGATAATAACTTTATTAGTTGTTATATTTAACCAATGAATTGTTATATCTTAGGTACTTTTAATCTTAATAATATAATGTGAGAATGTCATATTTCTGTATACCTTAAAATATACAGAATTTCTTAAATTAAAAAATGGTTCTTATTAAAAAAACTCAATCATCTTAATTGTGGTTTGTTTTTTAATTCCAGAGAAAAATTTATTTGCAAGAACGGTGAAATGATAGAAGTTTATCAGATTTGTGATGGGACCACTGAGTGTAGTGACAATAGTGATGAGATCTTGGAGACTTGCGCCAGCACTATTTGCCCATCTCATTTATTCCAATGTGCGTATGGCGCTTGCGTAGATGCTGGGGCCGAGTGCAATAATGTAAGTTATAAAGATGATAGTGACGTATCCCTACTAATATTATAAATGCGAAAGTAACTCTGTCTGTCTGTCTGTTTGTTACGCTTTCACGCCTAAACCACTGAACTGATTTTAATGAAATTTGGCACAGAGATAGAGTTGACCTTGAGAAAGAACATAGAATAGTTTTTATCCCAGACTTTTGAAAGGTACTCTTGGAAACGCGATATAACCGAACTCCACGCGGGCGAAGCTGCGGGCGGAAAGCTAGTTTTATTTTATTTATTTATTCAGATACACCATCGACTTAACATAATAACTCACACAGCATTATATGCACTAAATATAAATCAGTATGATTAGCCTTTACAGGTGTATACAACATTGTTTTTTTTTCTAAAATACAGACTAAACGGTATAAAACTAAGATAAACAAAGCAAAATATGAACTAGGTTAAAACAAAGTTAAAAACTAAGAAACAAAACTGGTACCAATATTAATCTACTTAATCAAGTTAGTGCTATAAATAACTGTCAACAATTACTACCAGCGTTCCTCGTCGTAAATAGCATCTAAACACTTCCTAACAAATTTGGCACAATTTTGAGGATGAAAAATGTCGATATCACCCTTGGACGAAAGTTCGTTATATGATGCCATGAGTCTGTTCAAAGGAGAATATTTTCCTACGTTGGTCCTGGAACCTTTCCGAATAAAAATATTCGTGATGGGGTATCTAGGGATGGATCTTGGTACATTTATAGGAATCTGCTGGAGAATGTCGGAGCACAATGTATGGCCATGGAAGAGCTTGTATAGTGTTTTATGTCTAGTTCTACAATAAAATAAATAGATTTTGTTAGAAATATTCCAATAATCCAAAATGTATAATTCCAGTTGCAGGAATGCGCTGATAATTCTGACGAATGGGATCTTGTATGTAATAAGACGTCTTCCACAACAACATCTACTACCACAGAGAAGTAAGAAATTTGTAGAACCTGAATGGATTTTGGGTTCTAATCTTGTCTATAATATTTGTTTTATCATAGGACTCTAGAATGTACCTAATATTTTGTCTAGCAGCTTTTTACGATGGCCTAGTCCCTATATTGTTTTATTTTCTACATAATACACATTGATTAAAAGTCCTACTATAGACAATCATTTAATTGTTAGTCAGCTAATTTAAAGCTTTATCGTATGCTGTTTGTGGTTTGCAATAAATTAAAATTTAAAGTTTTAGTCTCACTTTTCTGCATTCCAAAGCTTAATTCACTGTATTTTCTTAGTCATTCTTTTAAAAACAACTTATAATTGATACTCTTCTCATAATTTTTGTATTAATATCATACATATATATTTACAGAACTCGTTCTTCTTGCATCTTGCCAGATCATCCAAAGTTTGGGTTATACAGCTTAGCTGATGGTACCAAATATGTTCCTAGGAGTGTTCAAGAAAATTTGGTGGTTCTGAGCCTTACGTGCTACCCAGGATTCAAAGTTGTTGGGATAGCAGCCACTTACTGTCTTGAAGGGACATGGTTTAGCGATTTGCCTTATTGTGCCCGTAAGATTTAGTTGTAAAAAATACTTTATACAAGAATTTTCTCCTGATTTCGTCCGGATTTCTAAACCTTTCAATCCTTGATTTTGAAAGTCATTTGAAAAAAATAAAATATATTTTTCCAACATTTAAGGCTTGAAATGGCATGAATTTGAAATGCGGTCCAAAACTGTTTGATAGTTTTTATTTAATAGAAAACTGTGGTTTAAAAGATGCGGAACTGAAAGTAGATGAAACGAATCCTGGATGAGTTGATGTCTAGTAGCTGGAACAGCATCTAAATTAGTAAAGCACTTTGACACCTCAAGTCCTAGTCGCTTCCAACATCATATCATTACAACAAAACAATTTTAAAAGATTTTTACATCATTTTCAGGGACATGTAAATTGGATGCATCACCTAGTATCGAGTACATATGTTTTACTGAAAATGACGGGACCAGGCCTTGCGAAGAATATGAAGTGGAGGATACCGTTGTACAACCGCAATGCAGAGAGCCCAATTACTATAGTATCAACGACTTACCATACATGGTGTGCCTGGATGGACAATGGTCTTCCCAACCGAAGTGTGAACCTGGTGAGTTGAATATAGAATTCACAGTCAGTGGTGGCCTAGTGGTTAAAAGGTCTGCCTCTCGTAGTAGTAATGATTTTTCTAAGTCATATATACTTTCTAAAAGTATTTAGACACCACTGATAGACGGTGAAGGTAAATATGAGGAAACCTGGACTTATAATATCAAATTATAAGTTTGAAATCACCAACCCATCTTGAGTCGTGGTGATTAATGCTCAAACCTTCTCCATGTAAGAAGAGGCTCAGCAGTGGGCTCTGATAGGCTGATGACGACAGCAAAAATGAGATGCAAACTATTCTCAATTTTATTTGTACTACATTAAAAATTAGTTTTGATTAGCAAATAAAAATATATAAAATTTTTAATATATATTAAATTTTAATTGATGCTCTCGCACCGACAGCGACATCGTGAAGTTAGTTCTAGGTGGCATTTTAATATATATCTATGTTCAAGTTGTATATTATATTATATTATATTTTATTTCAATTATCTTATTTGATATTTTTTTTATATTTATCGTTAACCACTACAGCATTTTAGTTATTTTTTCTAAACGCCAAAGAAGTATAACTTCTAAATCGTGTACATAACACCCCCTTTTTTACCAATTGGATGATAAATAATAAGCAATATTTGATGCATTTATTATAGAATGTGGTACTTTAACGCCACGCGCGACTCCTTTGGTGCTTGGCGGGCGGATGGCTGACTTCGGCGAAGTTCCCTGGCACGCGGGGATCTACATCAAGTGGGATAATTCACCGAAAAATCCGACACAGATATGCGGTGCTTCTTTGGTCAGCGACACAGTTCTGATCTCTGGTATTGAGTCTACCGAATGCTTTCAAAATATTTTCCTATGCTACTAATTTTGATGTCGTTTTTATTTAAAACAATCTTCTAGCAAATATATGTACTTTAATGTAACAGAAGAAGATATTATTATCACTAATTGAGTTTCATCTGTTATTCGACTTATGTAAAGCCTTTCGTAATGAATTTCTGACATTTAATTTATAATCTCTATGTTTGTATATTCTATTAAGGTGGCACTTTACTTGGCGTTGCGTATTCGCCGCATTTGCCCTATTTGTACGTAGTCCAAATAGCTTAAACAAGACATCCACACTTGGCATGCCAACAACACGTCTTGACTAAAAAATAGCTTATAGTGTAGCTTGAATAGCCTTGAGCTAAAGAATCGTTAAGGAATAAATTTAAAGAAATCAAGATATTGACTGTTGCTTCTCAATATATATTCTGCAATGTTATGGATGTACGAAAAAATATTAATGATTTCATGAGAAAATGTGATACTCATAGCATTGGTACAAGGAACAAACATAAACTTGTTACTCCTGTTACTCGACTACATAGAGTCAGTAACTCCTTTGTGGGGCAATGTATACGGTTTTACAACAGGATCCCAGAAAGCGTTCAAAATGCCTCTGTTGCTAAATTTAAAAAAAAATATTAAGGAACGCTTATGTAATGTGTGCAAAAGGTTACTATACAATTAATGAGTTTATGATCGATAGCACACTTGGGAATGAAACGATCGCCTCCTGGCTATTTCATCTCATATTAAATTGTGTATATAATATATGAGACAAATATATATATTTAAAACCCGCTAAGTTTCTTTCGCCGGTTCTTCTCAGGTCAGGGTATTTTCTTTTCCGAACCGGTGGTAGTGTCTCAAGTGACCATCAATAAGAAAGTGTAATGATTCTATATTTAATAAAGTTATTTGAGTTTTGAGTTTGACGCGTTTTTGATTATTTGTGTATGCGTCTTATTTGTGCATATGTGAAATGAAGACAAATAATCCTCCACATGGTCATATTTGGCCGAACACAACAAATAAATGCCAAGTAAAGTGCCACCTTAAGTGTAATAGGAGATTTATAGTGAAATTCTTTTTTGGCTAACCTAGATTTTTGAAATATTTTATTTTAATTAGCTAAATTTCTTGTATATTTTAGCCGCTCATTGCTTTTGGTACACCGAAAAAATTGAGCCAGCAGAAAACTACGCAGTGGCGGTTGGCAAGCTGCATAGAGACTGGGACCATCCATCGGATATGGGTTATCAGCAGACTTCAGATGTGAGTGGACTTCGAAAGATATTCTTTATATCTTATACATAGTATCCCTACTAAATATAAAAAATGCGAAAGAAACTCTGTCTGTCTCTCTGTTTGAGTTTTTGTCCGTTAAGCTTTCACGCCTAAACCACTGAACTGATTTTAATGAAATTTGGTACAGAGATGGAGTTAACCTTTAGAAAGAACATAGGATAGTCTTTATCTCATATTTTAGAAAGTTTCTCTTGGAAACGCGATGTAACCAAACTTTAAGCGTAAAGCTAGTACTATACAGGGTGACTGGTGAATTACTATCAATATTTAAGGAGCATACTCGGTACATGATTCTCATTCGAATTATGTAAAAAAAATAGGCACTTAATTTTTGACAAAATTTCCGTATAAATAAGTAAAGTGTTGACACGTTCCAAGTGTTCAAGTGTGGACGCGTGCGGCGACGTGTTGATACAACACCACGTCACGACATGCGTATGTGTGAGTGTCAGTGTATACCTAATCTGTAGGGTGTTCACACGATGCGTAATTAATTACATAACTTTTGGTTAACTTTACTTAGAAGTTTATTAATATTTATGTTATATTAATTTTTATTTTGTCATATATGATCGTCAAATATCACGTCCTCAAATATCGATAGTAATTCACCAGTCACCCTGTATACTATTATACATAGTATAGAAGATTGTAGAACCAAATATACAAGATTATATTCGTAAATATATTTAGCTACATATTTGTACCTCCTTCTTTTTTATTTGAATAAAACACAATATTTTATTAACAAATGGCTACTTAATATCATAATTTATTTTTCAATCATATTTTGATTTCAATAGCCCAAAATTGTGTAGTCTGGTGTAAGTAATATAAGTTAATTGGTTAAACAAAATATATATGATATCAAGTAAATATTAAAACCTGTTTTAGCTAGTAAAATTGAAATAAAACAATGAATTAGCATGTGAATTTGATATTCAATGGCAAATTTGTTGCAAAATTGTGCTACTGATGCAAAATTGTGGCAAATTTGTTGCAAAATTATGAAGCTGATGTAATTTTTCCAGGTGCAATCTATCTACGTGTCTCATTACTATCGGGGATCTTCTTTGAACTATCAACATGACCTGGCAGTCGTGATTGTTACCCAGCCCTTTTCATACCGTCCATACATACGACCTATATGTCTGCATTTTCCTCATAATACGACGGAAATGGTGATCAAAAATGGTGACCTTGGAAAGGTAATTCCATGTTTGTATATACATATATTATACTTCATTTTCATCAGCAGCATATTGGTCCAAATTGCTCATCAAAGGTCGTTTCACTTAAAGATAAGAGCATTAATCATCACGATAACTCAAGACGGATGCGATTTCAAACTTATAATTTGACATTATAAGTCCAGGTTTCCTCATATTTTCCTTCATTTATCAGTGGTGTCTAAATACTCTTACAGAGTACATGTGACTTGGTAATAATTGGTATTTGCCAGGTTTTGAAACTACGTCCTCATGTACGAGTGCGTGCCTTTAACCTCTAGGCCACCATAATCTTATTAATTTCACTTAAATGCTCACGAAAGCATTACATCTCATTATATATTTTCAATCTATCTCCAGGTAGCTGGCTGGGGTCTTACGACGGTCCACACTGATTCTGTATCACCAACACTGAAGGTTCTCGACGTGCCTTATGTTGATTTTGACATCTGTCTGCAGAACACGCCAGATTTCTACCAAGAATTCTTCAGCGGTGATAAATTCTGTGGTGGATACGCTAACGGTAAGGATAAAGTTTTAGCAACATGTGTATACGCTTCCTGATTATGCAAAAAGAGTTTAAATAGTTTAAAGAACTTATAAATGAATCTTCTATCTTCTCTTCTATATATATAAAAATGGATTGCTGTTCCTTAGTCTCGCTAAAACTCGAGAACGGCTGAACCAATTTGCCTAATTTTAGTCTTGAAATACTCCTGGAAGTCCAGGGAAGGTATAAAAGGTGAGAAAAATTGGAATAATTGCCGTGAAAATTCTAAAAACAGCCCTTTTCTATTTCTCATACAAACGTTTTTTTTTAACATTACATTTGACAACTAACTAATATGTCAATCATTCTTTTTGATTGAAACAGGAAAAACCTGATTATTTATGGCCTCTGAGACGGAATAGAGTTCGCCTGGTCAGCTATACATATATTACTCTTGACCAAACTAACGCGGACGAAGTCGCGGGCAAAAACTAGTTGTTTAATAAAAATACATTGAACTCTCCAACTATCTACTCTTATAAGATATAAGCACAATTATGAATTTCTTTATATTATTATTTTAATTGAACAAGGTGTCCTTGGAGGGAAAGTTTGTTATTAATACTGGGCCAAATAATAAGCACGTATATTGAAGGAATCATGTTGTTTACTAATTTTGATGCTTTCTTTAAATTCCGATATGTGCTTGAAGCAATTAAATAAAGAAAATTTTTTACTGAGATTGTGAATGCTTTAAATGTGATCACAAAAACAAGAAGTAAAATGTCAATTGCTATTCAAAATAACAGAAATTTAAGAAGTATGTAGTTAAAATAATAAAATATACGAAGTTATCCTAGAATATTAGTTTCAATTGAGTTTAGTTATTAGTAATCTATTTGTATTTCATTTTGTCTAAGGTACGAGCCTCTGTAAAGGAGACAGCGGCGGTGGGTACGCGTTTCCCTTTGAGCATAACGGCCGAACCAGATACTATCTTCGAGGGATCGTCTCCACAAGTCCACCGCTACCTTCGGGATTATCATGCAACATATACACGTACACGAGCTTCACTGATATCAGACAACACAAAAGCATCATCATGATGCATATGCATTGATTTTTAAAGATAGTTTTAGTTGAAAGAATGAAAAAAATGTGAGCTTGATTCATTGTCACCTATAATATGTACTCAAAAAATGTACCTTTATTATAAGTTTTATCGAAAAAGGAGAGCGTCTATAGTTTTGAATTGATAAACAATGACAAAAAAAAAAATCAGATGACAGTTTTTCTTTTAATAAAATTAATTTAAATGTACATATATATTGAAGTCAGTGGTGGCCTAATGGTTAAAAGGCCCGCCTCTCGTGCATGAGTGCCCGGGTTCGATCCTGGCAAGTACCAATGTGATTTTTCCGAGTCATATGTACTTTCTAAGAGTATTTAGACACATTAATTAATGCATTCCCAAAGAGGGTTGATGTCAGGCAGGCGGCCGGTCGTAAAAACAATTAGCCAAAACTATTCACAACATGTAAGGCAGACCCTGGCTAAAGCTGGGAAATTGCCAGGTAGAAGAAGATATATATTTTTCCATATTAATAAGTGTTTTGTTCCATTTAAATTTATATAAAAATGAACCTATGTATATATATTTGAAGACATGTTTATTAAGTTTATTTTTTTTAAGTGTCAAAACATGGCTGTTTTAACTGTATAAATGTATTTTTTAAAGTAAAACTTGTTTTTCTTTTCACTAAGAGCTTCATATTTTTAATTTTAAACGTAAAAAAGTACTACAGCAATCAGGTATCATACATATTATATTTTATTGGATATAATAATGGTTTCGCTAAAGTAAAAGTAGTATTAATTAATTCTTTGTTTACTTTGGAAAAAATATATTATTATACCAAAGTAGAATACCATCCCGTGATGCCCCAACTCTATCTTTGAGAGTAGTAGTTGTTTATTTTAGTGGGTAGTTTTAAGTCAGAAGGCATGCAGGTAGGCATAATTTCTGTCAGAGCCCACAATTCATTTATTTGGTATGCATTTTTTTTCACCAAACAAGAATCTTAAAGCTAAACAGTCACTACTGTAAAATACTGACCAAAAGAGGATTGACCTCTTTATTTAATTATGAATTGAAATAGAGTTACATCTATTTAAATACAGATATAAAATAAACAGTAAAGAAATCATAGACACGATTTAGTTTTCTTTTTGAATTTTTATCTGGAAATTCTAGATTATCACTTTCCTGTTGTTTTTAATATTTTAGGATTCGCAGTTGAAGTATTTTTATTTATATATTTTTTAATTTTTATTTAAAAACATTACTTATTTGGATTTTTATTATAAAAAATACAGGGTCTTTCAATTCTAGAATTTACGGCGTTCGTCAACGAAAACTTCCTTTACTTTCTGCAATGTGACACAAATTTCAATAGACACCAAGGACAAAAGATTATTTTATTACTGTAAATGAAATATTAAAAGTATAAAAACATATATATTTTTAAACTTCTGGGTAAACTCGGCTATCCTACACGGGTCTGACTCAGCAGTTCCGTGTGAAGACACTTTTTGGTTTTATATTTCTTTTATGTTTTTAGATTATAAGATTTCTTTTAAGAATTTGATTAAATTAATGTCACTATTTGTTCAACCTTCGTGCAACATAGTCACACCCTAGTTGTAACTTACTTTTAATTAAATTAAGTCAAATAATTTTGGTTTCATTGCATCCACCGACCGTCGAACCAAAGGCTGCAAAATTTTTAAATTAATTCATTCATTTTAAATATTTCTAATTTTTACTTAATAAAATCAAGTTATTTCATAAATAATTTTGTTTAAAATTAATTAAAAGAATTAAGAGTAATACGGAAAAAAGTTTTTAATAGACCTACATTTTCCCCTGACTTTCAAATCAATTAGTGTGAATTTTATTACATTTTATGCATTGAAGACGCTACTTTAGAAAATACATATTAAACTAAGTTTAAATGTTAACTTTAATAAAAAATATAAGTTAAACTGATTATTTGCATCTTTTGCTGACACTGAACATCATTTCTGATGATGAAGATACTCCTTTTATCTTCCATAAGCATAACTATTAACTAAAGGCTTTGGCCGCTTCTTAAAGTTGTGCGACGATATACTTAGTAGGAGCTCAATGAAGTATCTTCCTTGAATAGCTCTAGATGTGTTGGTGTTTTCGGTATCGGGATATTGCTCATGATTAACGAGTATTGAGGAGCCCGCCTTTAGTGATCGGGGAGAGAGAGGGTGCTCTGTACTTGTTAAAAAGTAAAAAGGAAACACTAATTACATATGTAAGGCGGCAACCAGAGGTACCAGGAAAACTACAAAACTTATTTTTATGTATATTATAATGAAAATTAAGTAAGGAACTAGTTTCTTATACACTGATCTCGACCTCACCAACAGAATCCACAGCTCCGTGTCCAAGTATTACCTGTACAGAGACATCCGTTTAGTGAAGGACAGTATGTGTGTGTGTGTGTAGTGATAGTGTTAATAAGTGATCCACCAGCCGTGTGAGATAATTGTAGTACAACCTACTCACTTATACATACAGTGCTACATGTTTTCGACTCACAATTCCCACACCTTCCTACTATGACAGGGGGACAACTTATACAACCTGTCACCCGTCTAGGCGATCATTATAAAAATTGATTTGTAGAGCTTTTAGAGGTCCTTGGAGGCGATTGCGTTTAGCTAATCGAACCCTAACGAGCGATGCTCCCTCACCAAACCCGCCCCTCTCTAAACACACAGAATGACGTCACAAGTCTTCTATCTAGTGTGACCATTCTCTTGAAACCAGCAAATTTTTAAATACACAATTAACAGTTGACTGTATACAGCATTAAAGACTTGAAACACTATAAACCCGCTCCACGTCGGAATTTAAAGAGTAGGTCTTAAAGGTCTTAGACGCTGTCGAAGTCTCTAAGCTGTGAGTCAGGATGAGATGACTTTGTGAGGCTGTAAATGACGTTGATTAACGAAGCGTCCTCAACGAATGTGTTGAGTCTGGATATAGGGTCGTTTTAACAAGCTTTGACGTTGTGATCAAGGTTGCTACAAAGTAATATGATGCATATAGTTGTAAAACGAAAATATTAGTTTCAATCAAGAAATCGATAGTGGCAGAAAGAAGACAAATAATAAGACTAACTAACAGACACTTTCAACTCATCTGTTCGTGATCAGAGTATAACCGGAACGTCGGGATTCCGAAATTTTAGAATAATAAAAATCACATATGTGTACAAAAATCTTAATTTCATTTTATAAAAACTATAGTAAGCTAATTAATGAGATCGAAGATTTTCGATGGTACTCCTACTAAGCTAGGTCATTTGAACCACTAAGAAAGCGCAGCGCCCCCTGGCGATGTCAAAATCTAGTGTTACTGTCCAAGTCTCTAAGCTCACAGCTATAGTCAAGTGGATACATTATGTTTATATACAGGGTGACTGGTGAATTACTATCAATATTTAAGGAGCATACTCGGTACATGATTCTCATTCGAATTATGTAAAAAAAATATGCACTTAATTTTTGACAAAATTTCCGTATAAATAAATAAAGTGTTGACACGTTCCAAGTGTTCCAAGTGTGGACGCGTGCGGCGGCGTGCTGATACAACACCACGCCCCTCTCGCGTATGTGTGAGTGTGAGTGTATACCTAATCTGTAGGGTGTTCATACGATGCGTAATTAATTACATAACTTTTGGTTAACTTTACTTAGAAGTTTATTAATATTTATGTTATATTAATTTTTATTTTGTCATATATGATCGTCAAATATCACGTCCTCAAGTATTGATAGTAATTCACCAGTCACCCTGTATATTATAGATACTGTGACGGCGCCTTACACATATAATAAAATAACACCTATAATAATATGTAACAACAGTAAGTTAACAATCTTAACAGCTAACAGCCTCTGTTAGTGAACTCATCAGAAGCTACTGAAACAATGATTCTTAACATGAAGCAAGTCCCGCAGGAGCTACATACAAATGTATGGATAAAGCTTGTATTAAAAGACATTGACTGTTTGAGCCGCTGCAACACTACACCTTCAACACTACACTTGATACTTCAAGTCTTTTACATTCTAATATGTTTAAATCTCAGTCACTTCCCTCTCCATATAATGTGTAGCTCATTGTCTTTAATATATTGTGTCTAGTGTTATCAGTAAAAAATCAAATATAAAAACAAAAGATACAAAATCAACACTAAAGATTTGCACTTACAATGTAAGAACACTTGCATCAAAAGAACGATTTCTTGAATTAACTAGTGCTCTAAATTGCATTAATTGGGACATTATAGGGCTCGCAGAATTTCGAAGAATTGGATGTAGAATTGAAGAATACAACGATCTCATTTTCTGCTACATTGGTGAAACCAAAGGACTATATGGAGTAGGATTTCTCATAAAGAAAAAATACAAGAACAACATTACTAACTTTATAGGAGTCTCTGAAAGGGCAGCACTTTTACAACTTAAATTTGAATGCTTCTCCTTATCCATAATTCAAGCACATGCACCCACAGAAAGCTCAATAGATGAAGAAATTGAAAAGTCCTACAAAAACATAGAATATGGTCACACCTTGGCGGAAGGAAAGATAATAGTAATGGAAGATTTTAATGCCAAAATAGGCCACCCAAAAACAGACAACTACCCAGTGATGGGAAAATATGGTTACGGAGTGTGCAATGAAAGAGGCGAACGGCTCCTAAGCTTTGCTTATGAACAAAGACTGTCAATCATGAATTCCTTTTTCAAAAAGAAAGAATACCGCAGGTGGACTTGGGTATCACCTTATGGAAATACTAAAAACGAAATAGATTACATATTGATAAATCATCATAAACTAATAACTAACATTGAGGTACTTAACAGACTTAAATTTCCTTCTGACCATAGACTGCTGAGAGCAACAGTACTTTTAACTCGTCCAATAAAGAGCAGAAAAACATTCACAACTCCTAATTATATTCCCAAGACAAAAGCAGAAATTGAAAACTACATCACAAAGCTACGAGAATACAC